CAGAAGATGATCCCGAGACAACCAGGAGCATTAAGAAGTTGCATTTAAAAACGTAATGAAGTGAATGCTTATACTTTTGTCTCTAATAAACACACTGTCATTTAAATACGTTAAGTCTTTTAGCTGACGTGTATATCAATGAGAAAAAATACCTAATTTGCTATTCTTTTCCTCACCTGAGCTAGAAGGGCTGTGGTCCTGTCATTCCACTCGCCCTTTACAAATCAAGGTACTGAACTGTGCTCTCATTTCGGTTGCTACCTCCACTGGTTAAGCATCACCATCTCCGTTCTTTTTTAACAGCTCCAGATTACAAAAGCTTAATATTTCTTCTTTTGACTTTGCAAAGCAAAGCACAGTAGACGCTGAATGACTATTTTAAGAGACAATGTGTTTTCCAGTATCTTTCACCACATACCGGCTAACAATTATGGTTAAACTCAATGGTTACACCATTCCCTGACTATCTGCCTGACCATTCCTCAGAGCAGGAATTCAAGCAAACAACACATTTTTAATGTCAGAAGAACTCGGACAACTCCATCTCCCAGGTGAATTTGTCATTTCTGAAGCTCACCAGGCTCTCCATCTCCTCCAACACTGACACTCTGCAGCAGCTCAGCCTGGGGAGGAAGGCACCCAGAGGACCCGCGGTAACGTACCACTACTCCCTCCCATCCCCCTGCACTCACTTCTCACATTTGGATTGCTAACTTCACTGCAGCTCCCGTATAGCTCTGCTCCAGGATCATGTTTCAGGATGTAATTAGCCTTACAGAAAAAAAAAAATGAAGGGGAAACGCTTCGGTCATTTTATTTTCCATGCATGAGATACATCCTTAGGGTGAAATCGTTGCTGCAAATGGACAAAGGACAGATTTTCCATGCTTAAAACTTCAACAAAGAGGTTTGCTGCTTAGAGATTATAGGCTGTACAGGCAGGAGCGGAGTAAGAAAACATGAGTTGAAGAAAAAAGTCCTAATTTGAATAAATGTTTTTATTAACTGTGTTCTCTCTGTAAAATAATAAACGCACATTAAAATGAAACCACCCGGAAAGTCAATGCCCAAATACATAAACCAGAACTGGATCAACAGACGTTTCTGGTGCCTTTTGAAAACGCTCCGTTTTCCCAT